CAAGTCATATGAGGGATAATGAAGGGAGTAATAAATGTATTGTTGTCCTGCCGCCCAATGTGCGAAGGAGATGCCTTTGTTTTTCATTTTGTCCTTCATAAATATATAACTGTTAATCCATAATGCATAAAGAAATTATTCAATTTCCAAAACCCCCTATAAAATGTGTTGCACTGATTCCCTTGACTGGCAATGATTTATTACTTTGCATCGAATATGATCGTACTCTAAGCTGTCAGATTATAGTGACTAACCCTGTATATAGCATCAGTCGTCTTTCTTTTTGTGTGATAAGTGTAGTGATAAGTGTTACCGATAAGTAAGGGATAAGTGAAAATATAAATAGGCTTGTAACAATTGAACGTCCCTACTATGCACGCGCATGCTTAATAAATTATCCGAACACTATGCGAAATGAACATCACATTACAATTTTCATACAGAGAACACACAAAGTTATTTTATCAGAATAGAAGTAGTGAAAGTTGTGATTGATTTATTTGTTACTCTACTACCTACTACTTTGGACTACAGTTAATATTCGACCCACCCCCGTATTCTTGTTTACCACTGATTGTCTGATTAAAAGAATTTAATAAACTCTTGAAGCGTTTGAAGAATATAAATTCTTTCTCGCCATTCAAACGACTGAAGTTATTTATAAATCTGTATCTCCCCGAAGTAACTGATTTAAAAAAACTGGTGCTATGCTCCTTATTGTACTCTAGATTTTCTGCTAGTCGCGTCTGTTAGAAACAATAATAAAAATTTATGCAGACGTGTCGGAAGATTTTCAGCTCTTGTCGACAAGTCCTCGGTCGATATCGAAAAGATACACTCCTAATACGTCTCGCGGTCGCCGCGAGACATATCCTCGAAATCGACCGAAACAAGGACATTGTCCCCGTGGCCCACAGGATCCCGATCGTAACTCAATGAACCGTCCTTACATGGTCCTTGGCTGTAAGTGGAATACAGGCCGTAGTTGAGGTTGCTCGTAGCAATTTTCTTCAGTCCCTGGATGGATGTCATTAGCAGAGCCATTTTAGCCAGGAGCAGGGCCTTGCCGCCCAGGATGGCCAGGAACTGGAACCCCAGGGGGATCACGATCACGCCCGCTGCGATCATTGCGAACATGAGGAGCTGGGAGAACATGTTGTGCTTGTGGTGGTGGCGGCGTCGTCCTGGAAATAACATTTATTCGAGCCAGTTAATATTGATACACTTTGCTGTGCTATACGGAATGGATATTTTCAGTAAATATAGAAAAATTAATAAAGCCACTCAAAAATTACTCTTTTTAGTTTAAAAAATACATTTTCTTCTTGGAACCACCACTGTGGCCTGTGCAATCTGGGCCACCCTGTATACTCTATGACGCAGTGGGCCACCAGTAACGTCTCGGTGGCTAGGGACCAAACGACAAATGGTATAGAAGCCTGTTTAGATGGGTACGTGTAGGTTAATTCCAACTGCATTTCAAAAATATTTTGAAATTTACAGGGTGATCCGAATTTTATGCAGGAAACTTCTAAGGCAGATAGAACTCTTTAAAATAATATGTGTTTGCCTTATAAACATTGGTCTGGAACGGCACCGTTTTAGAGATACAGGGTGTTGAAGTTGTTAAAAAAAATTGATTTTTTGTTTATATCTCCGGAACCTATTAACCAATCTAAATAAAATTTGGTACAGATAATGTATGATAATAGGCCTTACATTCCCTAAAATATGAGCTTTAAAGATTCAACCAGTGGTGTACAACTGGAAAGGGGTCACACTTTTTTTACAAAAAAACTACGCCACTGCATTTTCTACAAGTTATTGTAACGGATTTATATTCTAATGCACAAAATACGTAAAAAAGGTAACTTGAATTTTTTCCCTAAGATTCGCCGTTTTCAAGTTATTCATACCAATACAATCCCCTCGTGCAGACATTTCTACCCATAATATTACAATAATATTTATGTTTATGGTATAAAGTAAGTGCAATTTGTAAGCACAACAACAAAATTCTTTCAACTTGTTTCCACACCACCTTAGTTCCTTACGCATTTTAATTTCCCCTGGAAGCCTAACCCACTATCTTTACAAATAAGGACAACTTAAATCAAAATAATAATAAATGTACATTTACCAAAGGCGAAGGGTAGTGAATTTTCACAACCTGCATATTTGGTCACAAGAAAATCCTCATGAAATTCGTACAAGATCTTTTCAACACGAATTTTCTGTGAACGTGTGGCTCGGAATAATTCGCAATAAAGTTTGTGGACCTTTCTAAACCCGTCTAAATTCCCAGTCATTTCTAAACTTTCTAGAAAACCATCTATTTGAATTATTAGAGGATGTTCCATTAAAGCTGGATACAATGGATGGTGCTCCTGCGCATTCTGGGAGAATAATATAAGAATGGCTTAATTAAAATTATTTGGGTCGATGGATAGGTAGAAGACTAAATGCCAATGTCAACCATAATTATGCAGAGGGTTCAGTGTCTTGGCCAGCCAGATTGACATATCTAAACCCCCTGGACTTCTATGTTTGGGGTTATCTGAAAAGTAAAGTTTATTCTACTCCAACAGATACAAGACCACAACTACTGCAACGAATAGAAGACGAGTGTAATACAATTGTTGTAAATACGTAACGTTAATTTTGTTTCTTGTTTAGTTGCTGCTGCTTGGTAAATATATTTTTATTATTATTTTGATTTAAATTGTTCTTATTTGTAAAGTATTAGGCCTCCAGGGAAAACTAAAACACGCCAGGAACACTACCTCACAGGTGGTGTAAATAATTTTGTTGATGTGCTTACAAATTGCACTTACTTTTAAGCATAAGCATAAATATTCTTGTAATATTATGGTTAGAAGTGTCAGCCACAAGGCAAGTATTGGTTTGAATAACTTGAGAACGGCGAATCTTAGGGAAAAAATTAAAGTTACCTTTTTTACGTATTTAGTGCATTAGAATATAAATACGTTACAATAACTTGTAAAAAATGCAGTGGCGTAGGTTTTTTTGTAAAAAAGGGGGTGACCCCTGTCCAGTTGTACACCACTGGTTGAACCTTTAAAGCTCATATTTCAGGGAATATAAGGCCTACTATCATACATTATATGTACCAAATTTTATTGAGATCGGTTAATAGATTCCGGAGATATAAACAAAAAATTAATTTTTTTTAACAACTTCAACACCCTGTATCTCTAAAACGGGGCTGTTCCAGACCAATGTTTATAAGGCAAACACACATTATTTTAAAGAGATCTATCTACCCTCCAAGTTTCCTGCATAAAATTCGGACCACCCTGTATATGGTGTCCAGAAAAATCGTAACATATCAGTTATGTATTTTTAAATAGTACACCCTGTATTTAACCGCAATTTTGGAAGATCCGTAAAAAAATTGATGAACTTTATTAAAGGTTCTGCATACCTAGAACTTATTGTTTGTGAGATATTTCAATTTTAGTGAAAATGCAGGCTTAGCATAGAAATTTAATATTAGCAATAAAAAAATAGTTTTAAATAAGCAGCTTTGGAGAGTGTATTTTAGATCCTTGAAGTTATAAATTATTATATTTGTCGTCACTTAATATTGTACAGGGTACAGGGTGTTCAAAAAACTACTGATTACTTTTCCCAATTTTAAGCAGCAATAACTTGGTTATTTTAAATGGGACGCCCAGTATATTTTTACTTTGGAAGTTAGGAAATTTAACTCTTTCAAACTGTGTATAGGTTCTCCATACCTATCTCTAACTGTATTGGAGATATTTGTGCCGTTTCGTATTTTATCGATTTTTTTTACATTTACATTTACATTTTTATTGATTCGTGTTATTACACAAACTGTTTACACACGTCAGAAAAGAAACATTGATATTTTCAAATTACAACATAGTTACAATTACAGAAACATACATAATCCTAGAATTAGTAAAGATATGAATACAGATTAAAATTTACATTGTAACAGAATAAATAAAATCAGATAAAGCAATATTAAAAACAAATACAATAGCTCGAAACTCACAAATTATTAAAGTCACTGTCAAAAAAACTGCTCTATATTATAATATGCATTGCTCAAAAGAAATTTTTTTATTCTATTTTTAAATTGATTAGGATTGAGATTCCTTATGTGGATTGGTACGTGATTTAATTGTAAAAACGTATTCCTATATAACCCGTACCATTTCTAGTCTTACTTAGTCTTAAATAGTTAGTAGTTAAATTATTTTAGATGTATCCACGTGTCTTCATCGAGGTCTGGGTTCTTCTTGACGACGTCTCTTTAAATATAAGGAGAAAAATTAGGATGCAGTTAAATTGAGCACCTTCAAATTTTTCATATTAAATGAGAAATTATTTAAATCAAAAATTTAGTAATAAATGGATAAGTAAGAATGGTCATGTCAGTGGCCACCTAGGTATCCAGACCTCACCGTAATGGACTTCTTTGTTTCGGACTATATAGAAAATCTTGTACACAATGTTCCACCTACTACTTGCGATGATATCAAGGAAAGGATTAGAGATGCACTTACCACAATCACCCCAGATATTCTAAGGAATGTGAGAATATCATTTGAAGATAGAATAAGATGCTGTGCCTATTCAAGAGAGTGGTTATCAATTCGACCATCAATTAAACTTTTTCTTTGTTTCTTCTAAAAGTAAAATTTCCTTTAATAAATATTTTTCATGCTGTTCCTAATTAATTTAATTCAGTTACGTACAACAAACATATTTATACAAAATTAATAATTTTTTATAATTATTCTGCTTATAAAATAATATTTTTTGTTAGAAAACTTTCTTGAATGATGATTCATGATTGACACTTTACCAATTCAGAAGACCTCGATAAAGCTTGATACATCTTACACATAAATTCGATAAAAAAACGAAACGGCACAAATATCTCTAATACCTTTAGAAATAGGTATAGGGAACTTGTACACAATTTGAAAGACTTTTAAATTTTTTAACTTGCAACGTAAAAATATACTGGGTGTCCAATTCAAAATAACCAAGTTATTGCTGTTTAAAAGTGAGAAAAGTATTCAGCAGTTTTTTGAACACCCTGTACAATACTAAGTGACGACAAATATAATAATTTATAACTTCAAGGATTTAAAATACACTGCAAAGCCGCTTCCTTAAAATTATTTTTTTATTGCTAATATTAAATTTCTACGCTAAGCCTGTATTTTCAATAAAATTGAAATATCTCACAAATAATAAGTCCTAGGTATACAGAACCTTTAATAAAATTAGTATTTTTTTACGATACTTTAAAAAACACAGTACGCTTTTCCTGGACACCCTGTATATTTCAAAATATTTTTAAAATGTAGCCTTAATCAACCTACACGTACCCACATAAACAGGTTTCTATAACATTTGCCGTTTGGTCCCTAGCCACTGTGGCGTTACTGATGGTCCACCCTGTAGAGGTGGTACATTTATAAAAACATTCGCCGATTTGTTCCAAATATATATGAAAATAAACCAATGACTTTTTCTTGAAAAGATTCTTGATCCAAATATATCGTTATGTAACGAAAATATAAATGCAAAAAAATTATTTAAGTTTAATCTAGCGTAAGTAGATATTCATAAAATCTTGACGAATTTAACACAATCATCTCCTGATGCCGATACCTTAGCTATAAACTAAATCAAATTATGTTTTCCCCATTTATATTTATTACATAATTAACAGTGAGTTTATGAATTTCAAAAAATTATAGTCTGCTCCAAATATTTGTCAAGCGTAAACAAATGCCGTATCGTGTGGAAGGTGCATATCGATACAACTTCGCCAGAACTATATCAGCAAAATGCAACGACCACAGTAGCTTACAAAACATTTTAAAAAGTTGGCCTTAGAATCAAGAGAAAATTCAACAATTCAATAATATACTATATATATTCTATTTGGAAGAAGTGAGTTAAAGTAAAAGTTAAAATAAATGAGTCAATAGAACATAATTTTTAAAGTAGAAATGTGTGATGCAATTTTGGACATATTTTCATATATGCCAATCAACAGAGCATTAAATCAGTAATATTGTGACAAAACTACTAGTAGCAAATGGACTGTGCCATCATATAAAAGAAAGTCATTAATTAATTTTTTATAAACATTTTTATGCAACGTATTTTTTTAGTCTTTTGCTTATAAAACCTAAACTAACGAAACAATCTGAATGCTATACAGAGACAATTTATAGAGAATCGAAATATGAATAAAACGAGGGGTCTATCGATCCGATCGGATAATTAGAAACGAAGAAAACCCAGAAAAAAAATTTGAAAATTTAGCGTTTTTTTTTAAATTCATTACTCCGCCATTTTTTGTTGTAAAGCTGACCTTGTGCACAAAAGTAGTGAATTATATGTACCTTGAGTGTGCACAAAGCAGACGCTGTCGGACCATTAGCTTTGGCACAATTGCTACCTGAATTTTTTGGTGCACTATTTTGAAAAATTTCTGGATGCGTTGGAGATGGTCCGATTTTAATTTGTCAGGCGGATTTTAAAAGTAAAAGTATACAAAACGTATATTCTAATTTTCCGATAAAATGGTGTGAAATAGGTGAAAAATTCCAACAAACATGCTCAAAAACGGCCAAAAGCGCGTACATGGTCGAGTAGTGGGGAAAGATTGGGAAATTAGGAGCAGTGGACATTGTATATAATATACCCCTTTATAGTCAAAATCGTACTATAAACTATCAATAATGAAACCATGTGCGTTTGAAAAATATTTCAGATAAAGTATTTTTTTCAACAAAACTGTAGTTATTTTTCTATAAACCACTAAACTTCTGTTTGTATATTCTTGAAACATATATAATATAAGATTTAAAAATGTTTTAGTTTCGCTTATCTCTAGCAATATAGTCATGGTGAATTCAACATTGCACCTCATATCGCATCCATCTTCAAACGTGCACAACCATATTAATCTTAAAACTCACTTAACGTCTTAAAATGTCGGAGAGGAGATATAGAATCGCTGTCGGTAGACGTTGCTCATTCATACATCAAAGCTAAGCAGTAATAAGAGAGGAAAGAAGATTAAAAGGAAGATATGTTTTTCAGTGCTTGTGAAAAGATGTTGTCATCATAGGAACAAATTATATGACAAACACAAAGGGAGAAACCCTAGTATAAGATTAGTTTTATACAGGGTGAGACTAAGTAAATGCTTTCATTTAAAAAATCTCTACGCCCCCTTTCTGCAGACGTATGACTTTTCAAATTGGGAGAGGAAATTTTGGGTTTTAACATTTTGATAGTAAGAAAAGTGAACAAAATTTAATTTTCGTAACTTTCTCCATATTTAAAGAAAAAAATAAAAACTACAATCTTTTCTCCCTGTTTGAAGAGACATACATTCAAGGAAGGCGGCGGAGATACTTTGTAAGCATAAATAAATTGAAATAATATACATATAGTGTATTTCCATGACTGCATAATGTTAAAGATTTAAAAAAAATTAAACGAAACTGCATCCAATTTTAAAGGCAATACAAAAAAACTGTATTATTTAATTCATCAACATGTCTAAAACAGTGAATACATTATTTTCACTCGAACTTATCGGGAAAGATAAATCTACTTGTTGCCAAACAAAACCTAGACCCTCCGTCGTTCTCATTTCCCTTAATATCCCTCCCACGGACCCTTCAGCGCCCACACTGAGGGAAACCAGTACTTGACCTAAACGAATTCATAGCTGGCGACCGCTGTTTTGAATGGTAATAATAAAGTACGTCTTGAATAATAAACAAGGGGAACTCCATCTTCACAAATTAAAAATAAATGTCTGGAAACAACTGCTGCAGATGTGCTACGCGTTGGAAATTGTAAGAGATGTATTCGAAGTTTGTTCAGTTTTACAAGATAATAATGACCATTGTACCCGGTGGTCCAGAAAATTAACACCTTTTTGTAGACGCATAGTCAGAATTTTTTTCGCAATTTCAAATGTTTTGGAAAGGCTACTATCGAAATATTTCCTTGCAAAACTTTTCCTGTTATGGATTGTAGCCAGATATTTCCGTTTGAAAAAAAAGTTGCTAGCGGAGGACCTGAAGCTTAATATGTTTCAATCTGAGAATCGAAATAAGAAAGCAATAATCTCAGTAATGTTGAAGAACTGTCGAAACAAAGAAACCGTTCAGCCTTATAGGTATGATATTAAAGACAACATATTAACTGCTTTAGACTGACACGAACGCTATTGTCCTCTGTCAGGAATTTAAACGCGAAATCCCTTCTTATAGGAGTAACACAATTTTACGGTCTTTGATCAATACGTACCTTCGAACTGAAGTCCGTGGAGTTCATTTAAGTGTATTTTAAGAACGTGCGTTGTAAAAAGTTGCGTCAGTCTCTTGGCGACTTGAGATTTCCAATCCACTTCCTCTTCCTCGAATCTGGATGTAGTTTTTGATAGCTGCAGACCCCTATTAAGAAACAAAGCGATTATAATTGTTTTTTTCTGCTCCCACTATAGCAAGTAGACTATTAATACATCGTTTTTAAGGAGGTAAGTAGATTTTACCGTAGAAGTGGGAGTTGCTAAGGACAACGGGAGGTAAATGAGGTAACTTACCTCCTTAGGGAAAAAAGCGATTTCGAGTTATAAATGCATATTTTATGAACAAATAAATAGAAATATTTGATGAACATAACATTTTATTAATTATTATAAATGAATATTTATAGTAATTGTACAGTTATTACATTTAGTAACATTTATAAAATCTGGATAATTATTCCCCTCGCGTTTATTAATTGTCACATTTTTCTCAAAATGATTTGACTAAAACAGCATGATGCACAGTAGGACCAATTGCCAAAAACCTGGCCAAAAATCAATAAATTGAGTAAAAAATATGAAATTTGGTATTCGGGGACTTTTGGGTTCGCTGAATTCAAATCGGTTGTCAGAAATTAAAAATTCAAAATGGCAGTTCTAATATGGCGACCTTGATTACCCTATCACCTGACCAAAAGTAAAAAAATTAAGAAAATAATCTGAAATTCGGTTTTTGGTGTTGCTGAGTTCTAATCCGTTGTCAGAAATCAAAAATTCAAAATGGCGGATCCAATATGGCCAGCTTGTATACCAAAAAACGTTAAAAATTCATGAAATTTACATTTAAACATAATTTTATTTTTGGGGTGTTTTTACATAAATATACTTAAGTAAATACATAAAAATTGAACATTTAACAAATATTTGATAGCATATAAATTACAATAAAAAATTATCGTCTTCGTCGGAGTCACAAACATCTGTACTTGACTCAGAGGCAGATGTACATTCTACATCTTCTTCACCTTCTTCTTCATTATTTATAGATGCAGATGGAGGTGATAATAAATTTAGGACTTCTATCGACAACGATTTTAGTGGTTTAGTGGGCAACTTTCGGCAACTAGAAACATAGGGATCAGATGAAATAAAAAATCTGTATAACACATCTTCCATAGTTTTTTTGGCGACAATTTTTTCTTGCATATCGAAGTCGATAATCAGTATACATAATTTACATATATTTATTTCTTTCTCTACGTTTTTAATAGCTTGTTTTGATTGATTTTCAATAACCCTTTCAAAAAACATACTATATTTATTATAAATAATCGCATAAAAAAGGCGCAAAAATGCGCAGCTGAATTTTGTTGTATTTTATAGACATGACTTTTAACTACAATTTCCAATAGGTTACATGACCGAATATGACAGAATATATAAACTTTTTTTATTAAATAACGCCATTTTTTAAAATTTTTTATATGTAAATAACGCATTAAGATATTTATCTCTAACAATATTTTAGACAAATTACTAGTATTAAGACATTTTTTTCTATAATTTACCTACCTTGAGAAGTCTCTTCCATTTTATTTGATAGCAGTATATTTATTTTTTTGAATCACACGTGCTGTCGTAAGTAAGCGCCGGTTTGTCGTTTCTCTTGTAACTGCGTGCTACACAGACGAAGGTCATGTTCCGACTGATATTTAAAAGAATATTTGGGGGGAAATGCTTTTACTATGAGAGGTTTCTACCTTCCGGGGAATCAATGTTGCCAACCCAATGAGTTAAAGACCCTAATTAGAAGCTTTATTTTTTTACTTTTGGCCAGGTTTTTGACAATTGGTTCCACTGTGTGATGCGACGCACTACTAGAATGTGGAGTTGAAGTGTCTTTGTAAAGAATCCTGTTGGCTATTTCATTTTTGTTACTTAAACTGTCAACAACTTTCTGCAATTGTGGCTGATTTTCACCCACCATGTCTCTTGATTGCTAATACATCAACTCCTGTATTAGCCAGTAACGTTTGCGATGTTCTTCGGAATGAATGGCCTGTATATGTTTCAGGATGTTCTAGTTTCTAAAACTTCAATCTTATTAGGAATCATAGAAAGAGTATGCTTGCCGACTGGTTGGTTGTAACATCTACCTGATTAATGGCGCATAAAAAAGCGTGAAATTTCAGTTTTAATTTCCAATCTAATCTTGATAATATATTTCTTGAGAATTTCTAGGTGAGAAACAGAACCCAGACGAGATGTAATTGTAAACGTACATGACATACCATTTTTTAGAAACTAGAATTGTAACTACAATAAGGTCATCGAAATTTTTGAAATTGACGTTGTCCAAAGTAAGTTTGCATAACTCATCAGAACGACATGCTCCTGCAATGCCTAAGACCGTCACTACCTTCATTAGCAAAAATGTGTTATCGGGTGTCTGAACGAGAAAATCGTTGACTTGTGCTCTTGTAAAAACATTTGACTTTTTAGATGTATAGCCGTTATTCTTACGTTTCAAAAATGCTCTCAGCTTGGGGTATCTTTAAAATTATTGACTTCTCCATGAAATATCTTAGCAGTGACATTTCAGAAACACAGTATTTTTGTTCTGGAACCATTCTTTGAAATTTCTACCTAGTAAACTGGTTAACTAAAATTCTTAGTATAAACTAATCTCCTTCAGTTTCTGTACCTGTTTAGGAAACACGCAATATACTCTACTGTGATAGATTCTTGAGAAGGTTTAGTAGATACTAATAAAAATTTAAATTTTTCTAAACCTTCGCAATTTTATTTTTTATAGATATTTAATTTATCCAAAGGTTTTTTTTGTTCCTTGTTATGAACCGTTTTATGTCTTGAAGTATAAGAAGACCGCCAGTTTCCATGATAAATCACTCAAAAGAAACTAACAAAGTCATAAAATGAAGTAGCAATTGCTTGGAGTAAAATTGCTCCAGTTTTTTTCTTATTTTCCGTCAGACAGAAAACAAAATCGATTTATAACCCATAATATGAAACCGATTCATTATAATAAGTCGTAAAATTATTAATTGCTAATAAAAGCGAGCAATAAAGTCAGGCCGGCAGTAAAAAGGGCAAGTACAATTAAATTATTGAAAATATGTGTCGTTTTAGTGTATTTTCTATTAAATGCATTCGTTAATGATCGCGAAGGTTTTATTGATTAATAATAATGTTTTATGAACTTATAAATTCACCCTAGTAGATTTAATATATTTATTGACCTTTTTGCTGGCACATACGTCTGAAGTGTAGAGTAATACAGATTTTGTAATAGTTCAATGTATTTGAATTTTGAAAATTTGGGCAAAAAAAAATTAAAAAAGCTCTGCTTAAATTCAAAAAGATGTGTATTTTACAATAATAAAGCGATACAATTTATAGGGGACATAACTAAAATTCTAAGCCTACCTGTCATAATTTCAAAATGACTTAATTTCATACAGGGCGGTAAAAATTTAATGCCGAATTTAGTCAACTTTAAACCATCTTAACTTATTTTTTTTAAATGGAACACTGTATATTTTTGCGTTACCTGATGAACAATTTTGTTCTCTTTCAAATGGGGAGAAGATACGAAGAAGAGGAGAAGGTCTGAATATGGGCCCTATTTTGTTTTTTATAGATTATTAACAAATTTTTTGACAAATACACCTAAAAATTGGGACACTCTTAGACTAAGAACTCGTCTACAATAATGAGCGCGGCAAAGTTCCGGAAAGATAAAAAATACTGAGATATCAGTTAAAATATGAAAATTTAACAATATTTTGTATTAGGGTAGAGTGTATGAAATATGGGCCCCTATAAAAAATGATGCATAAGTTTACGTTTAACAAAGGAAATTTTATTTTCTAGTAAAAAACTTCATATATGATTATACAAGAGTACTGGCAACAACAGAAATTGGAAAGAACACAAGTTTTCAAAATTTTGTAAAACTTTTTTGCGTCTTCTTTTTTACAATTTTACTTTGAATATTTCAAATGTCGACTAAAAATATTTTTTTGAAATTTAAAAAAGTTGAATAATTTGATTTTTCTTGTTTTGATTTTTTTTTTGATATTTGATGAGTATTTAACCCGAGATTTGAGAAAAATAACGCAAAAAAAATATTTCATCTTAATAATTAATTGATGTTTAAGAAGCAATAAACCTGCTCCTTTAATTTTTTATAAAACTGTTACAATTCCGGGAAATTAAAACGGTTCGACAGATCGATTTCAAAATTTACAGGACTCATGGGCCCGTATTGGGCTAAATAAACCTACAAACATTGATACTTTTCGCAGTATTTGCAAAGTAGTCGTTGATTCTCCAAAACAGCCGAAAAATTCATTTTTTACTAAAAAAGTTTTCTGAAACATACCACAAGGCCCTTGAAGAGAATTGATTCAGATTTCTGAAACCCACCTTCTATTCGCTGTACGATCATTAGTTCATGACAGATGATAAAAAAAGGCCACTTTTCACTCAATAGGCGATATCTAATTGAGAAATAAGAGTACTGAAATTAAAAAAAAAAAAACAAATTGAAGCTGATGAATCAGGCTGAATGACCCTGGCATTGATTAAGCCAGAAAAAGAATTTCTGAGCACGTGCGCAGTTTTGAAAAAAAAAATTGTAAAAATATTTGCCTTGCATTATTTCTTTTGATTGTGTTGAGATGCTAAAATCCTCAAGCTTCATTTTAATAAAAATTTAATAAAAATAACATTTAGAAGTTATTTTAATAAACTAATTCATCTCCGTTTTTAGAGGAAAATACCTACGTTGAATATATTCAGGATGACGAAGAACACGTTGCTCTGAAATCAGATGATTCAGAAGCATCAGATATGCACTCAGATGACTCAGAATATCTTCTTTGAAGTGAATTTAGTTAGTCCAACACTGCATAGGAACCAAGAAATGTCGGCGTTAATAATCGGAACAAGGTGTTAAAAAGTTAACTGGTCTACATGTGTATTATTACTTTCTTGTATTGTTTTCATTGTCCCATAATACACAATATGTACAAAGTGTCATTGTGTATTGGGAAAAACAGAATGAAAAGCACGCCAGGTGTCATAAATCATCGCTTAAATAGCCCACCAAAGAATTCAGCAGCCTATAAAAACATTTTGATACAAAAAGGCAATTTCCTGTATATTGATTGATTTGTTTTTACTAGTCCCAACAATAGACGACAAAATACATTATTTTAACGAAAGCATTTACATATTTGTATAACAAATGCAGTTTTCGACAAAGCGCGTCATCGCCTTTCTTTGAAATACAAAACGAAAAATCCTCACGCCGCTCTCTCGCTGCTATTTTATCTTTTAAAGTGAGAAAAATAACTAAACCTCCTGCGTCAACTAACACCTGTAATCTAGACCCTCTTACAAAGCAAACACGTCTTCGTTTGCTTATATTAAGGCATTCCCCGTTGAGATATAGCAAAGGATGTTATGAAAAAATGACGTGTGGGAGCAAGAGGGCTGGAGCGGAGAAGACAAGTTCAAATTTATCACTAGCACGGAGATTATGTGGGTGGTAGCTTAGTGCCCTAAGATTTCTCTTTTAATAAAAATCAATTTCAATTTAGGATATAGATTTATTAAGCTTAAACCGCCTTAACACACACGAGATTAATACTGATAAGTGGGGGAGGGCGGCGAGATATTTGTCATAATTCACTAGTTGGGGGAAGAAAACCGAGAAAGCTTTCTATGAAGTCCATATATTCATTTATTTGTTCCAAAGGCTTGGTAGACCAGGCGGGATGTTTCAAAACACCCATGTAGGTATGGATGTTTTATATAGTATCGCAAATTTTTTGTTTAATGGCTCTAAAATGATGTAACAAAACATAATTTCACTATGCGCGCGCTTTAAAACGTGTGCTAAACTTATTATTAAACAAATAGTGAAAAAATTGGAAAAAAATCCAATATTATTCTCTATTTTTCAACACGGTTCAAAAACTATTTATTTTAGAGAAAAATTGAAGAGGAAAAAAAGATTCGTAATTAAATTTTACACCTATTTTCAAATAAAAAATACAACATAATTATTGCAAATGTAGCAAAAACAACAAGAAAAAGTTAAAAAAAATTATAATATTTTTGCGACTTTTTAATAAAATACTTAGGTATAGGTAGGATCTTCATACTTGGCCAAAAAAATATTTTTGATATAATAAAACATCTCGCCAATTTTCATTAAAATTGGTCCGATAGTTTTCGAGTAATAATTTTGCAATCCGGATTTAAAAAAAAAATGACTGAGCCTATATTAAGACTTCTAGATATTTGAATATTTTATCACAAAAAAAGGGCACTCAAACTTTAAAATGCGACCAGAAAACTTGAAATCCGTTAATTAGGACAGCCGTGGTAATTGTTTAAAGATATGCATAATTTTTGCGCTTATAAACAAATAGAATAACTTTATAAATTCAATATATATATTTTTTAATTATGCTTTTAAAGTACTCGGAAAGACGCCTCTTTAAAAAAAAACCTGGTGATTCGTTAATTGGTTCCACAGTTATAATCGATCAAAGTTGACCGGCATTTGTGGCGTAACTACGAGATCTGGAAGACTGTTTAAAAAAAATTTGCAAAACTTGCGCCCTTGTGCAACCCATATAAAATGTCGATTAAAACTATTGGACCGAGCATGAAATTCACGAAAACTGTATGGGATGTAGTGGTGGGGGGTCGAGAGCTCCCCTATTCCGGCCGACTCGAAATTGAAATCGCGCGTTCAAAATAAAATAGCGGGGGGCTTAAAAATTTTCATTATCTCGGCTTCTAGTGGTCCGATTTTGATGTTTTTTTCTAATCGATGTCTCGCGAACTGAAAAGTCCAAACATCGCATTTTAAAATGCGAATTATTGTTACGTTAATAGGTCGATAAATTAACAATAATTCGCATTTGAAAATTATAAGTAGAGGTGAAAAATCCAGGGGTGTATTGTATGACCAAAAATAAGGGTATATATAACACCCTATATAATAGTACAAATAGGTTACCAATGTTACCATTGTATTATCTTCACTTTTTGTTTATTTACACTTACTTGTATTCCAAACCGATTTACTTGATCAAGTGCATTTTTACATAGTACTTAAATTACTTAAATATCATCTTATTTAATATTGTGTATGGACAATTAAGTTATATTTTTGAATAAGATTAAGTTTTAGTAATGGCTTATGCATATTCAAATGCTGAAATGGCCAAATAATGTTTTTGGAGTCTTTTGGAGTCGGGCTTATTTCAGAAAGTAGGCCAGGAAAATAAGCTGGGAAATGCCCATTTCGCCACTTTTTGTTTCGGCAAGCTGAATTTATCACTATAGATGCTAAATATTATGTACAATAACATCGCGAAATCTGGAATCAGTAAGTTGAATAGTTTACAAGTTATCTTTTCTTTTTTTAATTTGGAACTGAATTTTTTTTTATTGTTTAGCCTTAGTTGCAAAATGAAATATACGACGCACGCGCTTGATATAATTATAAATTATTGTTTTTAAACTAATTTGGCTGTCCTAAGGCCCCACCTTTATAAAACAAAAAACCCTTATTTTTGGCCACAGAATACGCCCCTGGATTTTTGACCTCTACTTAAAAAACACCCTGTATAACAAATTAGTTATAAGGTCAATTTCCGGTAATACCCTGTATAATTCTAAGTCAGTGTCCATAAAGCCGGAAGTTGTAAATGAATTGGGAAAACTTTGCGCTCTGCTTTAGTTGCACTCATCGTGAGATAAAAAGGGGAGAAAGTTCTAAGAACGTCAGTAATTTTTAAAATGCCGAATCATGAAACTTTAACCGGAACTTAATATCAAGGAAATCTTAAAACATTGACTCAAATGTTCCGATACACGACAAACTTCCATTAAAACTTTCAAAAAGTACTTTGTGCATCGATCGTCCGGCCAACTGGAGACTTTAAACTCAATTTTCCGTATCTTGTATTAAGTGTAAGTTGTTACGTTATAAGCGCTCTTCCCCGGTCTTATGCCCCTCAGTTTTATTTAATAAATGTTGCGGAAATCTCTGCTCAATAGGATCTTTTGTGTCGATCAGCGAATATATCCGCCAGTAAACCACAATCTCCTGGGCGTTTGGAGATTACGCGGAAAACTTGAGAGACAACGGACAAATCTTGTATTAATTTATCATGGATATGAAGTGTCTGGAAGATGACGCTTCAGGCTGAGCTTCGAAGACAGTACAGCTATCGGATCGTTCCTCGGAAAATAGAGACGATATAATGAGAAAAATTTGTCATTGTTCAACGACAATTATTGCAAATGCTTGGCTTAATTCAGAATTGAACCCTATCAGAAAGAAGGTATGTAGTAGGATATGGAGAAACCAACATATGGTAATATTAGATTTGACTTTGCGTCAAGTTATAAGGCTAACCCAAGGTCAACTATTTTTTATGCCAGCGATCGATAGACCACCTAATTTTTATCAGCTATCAAGAGCTATCATTTAAAAAATGTAATATTTGGCGCATTCCGTTTTACGCTTTGATCAGCACAAGAAAATAGCCACGATGGATGGATCTTAACATCTTCAGGACTGATTTTTCGTCTCGTTTTTAAAAAAAAATACTTTATTTAAAAAGCATTCATTGTTATTTATTTGAATTAATAATGGAATATATATTTTTAAAAAGGATATATGTAATAATCCAACACTGGTCGGGGCATGTAGTCCGTGGAGCAGTTGTTTTCCAAAATATCATCAGTTACGAATCTTGTCTATGACGTTAGATATGTTTTGCTAACCTTAGGTTTTTGATATAAAAGAACACTGTTTGATTTCATTTTATAGGATTTTTAGGAAAAAATTTTGAATTTAAATTAATTTAATTCATATCTTTAAAATAAAGTAAATGCAACTTATAGGTACTGTTAAACAATCGACAAAGTCATTGAAATTTCAATGCAATCTTACTCTAGCACTTCTACCAGTCCTTTTGTATGCACATACCTCCTGTCCCGAGTGCCGTTTTCCCTCTGATACCTGACCAGAGCTACCCCACCGACCAATTCGATAACGTCTCGTTCCAGCACCCTATCGAATGCCTGCAGGGTCTTACGCTTGAGACAGTCCTGCAAGATAATCAGGAATTGCTCCTGAGAGTTTGCAGTACTAAGACGCGAGCAGTTGTGTAATAACAATCGGGTTATTTTTCTCGCTTCGGTCCATACGCTGCTCGTCTTATTGCACGCCGCTTTAAACTTGTCCGGATTGGGTAACAGGAACAGAAGAATGACAGCGATGCAGAAGGACTTGCAGAAGGACATCCTAGGAGAAAAGGGTGTAATTCAATACGGAACGCTGCAGAAATGGGAAAAAGAAGTCAGGGAAGGAAATATTTTTTAATCTTGTTTAAAGTATTTAAGTATTTAAACGAATTCAAGAAATTAGTTTCCAAAAATTCTTATCGAATGAAGTCAAACAATTGGATTATGCCACAGCAATAATAAATAAATTATCCAAAATAAAAATTAACAATATGTCTAAATGTAATAAAAATATAAAAACACGTACCTAATATATTGAAAATTGTTAAACAATGTAATAATTCAAAGAAATATCTTGTATTCTTACTGTTCTATCATCACTCTTGACAAAGACTAATCGCGTAATTAAAAACCAGCTTCAAAGAGATGCGCCATTTTCAAAAGAAAACTTGGAAATAAGGCTATTAACTGTACTCTCGAAAAACAGCACAGCAATCACTACAACAATGTATTACAAACTGACTTTCGAATACAGTCCGGCTTCATAAGAAACCTACAAGTTCGTAAAATGTGTTACAAAATTTTTTTAAGTATTCGCCGCGATAAAATATACATGTATTTCAGCAGTTCCAAAATAGTTTTAAACACATTTATAATTAGCTTTTTTCTCTATGACCTTAAACTTCCGATACAGTTTGTGACATCAGTTAACTCAGTTTTTGCTCCTTTTTCACCCCTTTAAATTTATGACATAAGTTCATTAACACCCTGTGTAATAATATATTTTGCATAATTATATTTTTGGTGTTGAGGAACATTGTTGGATTTTTTTTAATTTGATTGAATTGGCTTAATATTTTTAAAATAGAGTGAACATAGAAGAGTTAATAATAAATTATATTTTTTTAAAGGGAAGGAAAGAATTGGACATGGAAAAAATTTTACCAAAAAAATTGTTATTACTTACGTCAGTGGTAAATAGTCACAAAACACATTGACACATAAAATTCAAACAGTACAAAGAGAAACAAACGAATATCCTTCGAATAGTCCTTTGCAAATTGCATACAACATTCATGTCCGTGAACTGTTCCGCAAAAAGAATTATAAATGCATACTGCAACTGGAGTAAATATTGGAAGGAGTTTATTATATAGTTTTCGTGACGACGTATGTAAGGGGTGTGTGTACAAAATCATGTGGTGCATGAAAAGTACTAAAAGTCGTTCTTTTGGAACGCATGCCACAAGACAACTGGTTGGATAGGTCGTGATACTTTGTCATATAAATAATATTTATAAATATATTTGAGATAAGTCGGTAGATTTCAATTTTTCTTATTCTAAGGATTATTTAAACATTGTAATATATGTACTGCAGACAAAATATAAAAAATAGAAATGTAAATACTAAACCATCTACTCAAAATATATCTGGAAGATATTGATTAGAGTTAAAGCATCTTGGTAGATTTAAGAGAAGAGAGAATAATGGTTAAAAAACAAGCAGAAGGTGCTGAAAAGGTCCACAGTGAATTAATATTTCAAGAACTGATTTTTATTTATTTAGAGCTAGATGTTGAGAGGATATTTTTGAATTGTATAGCTATGAAAAAGTAGTACATTTTGGAAATAAGTACAACCATGGGCGTCCGCTGAAAACTTATTGAGGGGGGTGGGGTCAAGGATAAGATAAGGTCAGTGGTAACTATACAAAAATTACAAAAACTAACTAGATACGTCCATGATTACAACAAAAAATACATAAAATATAAACATTTATAATAGATTCTGAACATTACTATATTTTTTTATTAAAATTTATCATAATTATTCTGGCGTGATAAACATAAAAGTTTGTTCATTTCATTAATTTTCACAATCGTATCATCACCTATTAATAATAAATCTTTCTGTGGTATTTGTAAAACTGTCGCAAACTCTTTTTCTGTATTAAAATTTTCCGTGTTCCCTTTTACAACTACTCTGCGGACAAATGCCCTGATCAGCTCTGATTTATGCAAGCAGTATCTGGTAAACATCTAGGATCATTCATCAGCGAACTCACCAGACATTTACTGACGAATAATCCCTATTCACTCCATGTCTGTAGTTAATTTACCAGAAACAGCTGGTAACCGGTATATGTTTGGTGGTTCTACTAACGAATGATCTTTTGAATGATTTTCTATTTTGTCAGACTTTTCACGATTAATGGAATTTGTATATACTGTGACTTTCTGAAGACGATCGAATTCACAGACGAATGTAGTTTTTCTCGGGACAAGATTATTAATTTTCATAATTACCACATATGGGCTGATGAAAACCCTCACGCTATTGTCGAAACTAACCATCAAGAACAGTTTTCTCTTAACGTGTGGGTCGGAGTTATTGGGGATTATTTAATTGGGCCTCATTTTCTACCTCCTCGATTAAATGGTGAGGCATACGTTCAATTTTTAAGAAAAGTGCATCCCCCCGTACTGCTGGAGGAAGTTCCTTTGGGCGTCAGAAGGGATATGGTTTTTATGCATGATGGGGCTCCCGCCCATTTTAGTCAAGTAGCACGTCAGCATTTAACTGAAACATATGCAAATCAGTGGATAGGTCGAGGAGGACCACAGAATTGGCCCGCTCGATCCCCGGATCTCAATCCTCTGGATTTGTCTACTTGGGGCCATTTGCAGCATTTGGTTTATCGTACTCCTGTTCGCGATGTAGAGGACTTAAGAAACCGCATTATCGATGCGTGCAGGGTAATTAGAGAGACTCCAGGAATATTTGAGCGAATACGTGGCTCAATGCGCCGACGTCTAGACGCATGCGTAATGTCTGAAGGTAGACATATTGAACATTTACTATGATTTCTACATGTTGTATGTTTTGTTATTATTAAATTAGTTTTGATTATTCCCCTTTAATCATTTAATGCAGGTAGTAACTACAAAATAACAGTAAATCCAGTCCGCATTTATGACGATGTATCTCTGTAGTTGTTCGTAAAATAATTTTTTACTGCGAACTGGTTTAATTTGGGCAAAAAATTCAAGAGACATTTTTTTTTAGAATGAAACAGGCTATCGGAAATAAATTTTTAAATGGTAAACAAATAATAAGACAAAAAGTTACATTGGAAATAAATTTTAGGGGTTGCGTTTTCCACCCCTTACAACTATGGGGTAAACCAAATAAATTACTGGCTAAGTGTCTTTTTGGTAGTATGTTTTACACTTATTTAGTTACACCCTGTATATTGTTTATAATATCTTTAGCATCTCTTTAAATAGATCTTCTATCCTTGTTTCTTATCTATTACCCATCGAAAACATTTTACTTCTAAGTTGGTTCTTAGAAAGAGAATGTTGTCTCTCTCTGAACAATAATTCACTTGCTTATCCCTTCTTTCCAAAATTTATCGTTTTCTAAGACCAAATTGTTAAGAGCAGCAAATGTAGTTAGTCATAATATGGTCATGGTCATCAACTAAATCATCTACCAAGTTAATTATACAAGGCCCATAATGACTTTGAACTTGATGGGTAAGTACTGGGAAAATGTTCACCTTGACTTCATTAAAAAATCAATTATTAGAAGTACCTATAGGATGTAACCTACTTAATACTTAATCTATTATTTCTTTTGTATTTAATATATCCTGATCCGCAACAGCAGTCAAGTAATAATATATTTAAAATAAAGAGTTGTTTTATTTGTTCAGCCTACATACACAACTACAACTTAAATGGAAAACTTTCAGTAGCCAATAATTCTACTTACTACATTCGAGAAATTTACATTATGGGTGTAGGGAATCTGACAATGATATAGTGGGATATTTCACGGTATGTCTTGTTAAATATGGTACTGTATGCCACCTACGCTCAATGTGTGTGTGTACAATAAATGTAGAAGGGCGTTTGTTAAGGCAACAGCGAAGCCATTTCCGTTTCATCTCAAATGATAAGGGGTTCAGAGGTGTCTCAATTGACTGAGGCGTACATGTTTTATAATTAATCAACCTACTTCAGCTTTGTGTGACATATTTACATATATTTCCAAAAGGAAATTTATTGTGCGAATTATTTCTAGCGTTTACCAAATTATGTGCTGTAGTAATTTTAATGATGCTTTTTCCGCTTGAAGTATCTATTCTTTTAGTTTCGAATTATTTGTGGACACGTTAAGTAATGTGAAAATCGTGTATGAAAATTATTCAAAGATGCAATAAATTAAAAATTATATAGGTACAGAGATAAGTATATCTGAAAGATTATTATTTAAAAACTTTTATTAATTAATCCTCGAATGGAGTTCAATACTACACCCCCAATACGCTAAGGTGTATAAGTGGTTGTATACGCTTAGTTAATATAATCATGTGTGCGATAACTGCCATCTACGGTAGCTTCTAGAAAAGCTACCATTCATCTAAACCACATAGGTACATTTAAACACGTACAATATTTCAGTCAACATCTAAACAGTATTCAACCTATCAAATGCTGTCATTTAACTCATTGATTGACAGATGTCGCAACAAACAGCATAGTATCTTTGAGCATATACTATTATCATATATATAATACTACACTATTATATACTCGAAACATTGAACATAGACTCATATAAATTATTAGCGTTGAGTGAGAATACTATTTGCTTATTCAATGTCATTAGCCACTTTTCTTTGCCCGTAGAATGTCCTGATTAGTCATGAAATATCTTCGAGCACGCACACGATTGGTTGGAAATGAATGCTCGCGCATCTAGGGCTCGCGCTCATAGGCTCTCGTCGTTGAAGCGAAGAATTAGACAGCATGTACTGAGATACTCTCTGTCTCTCTCGCACACTCAGCCACACATTTCGCAATGGTATGCTACCTCCAGTAGTATATGCTCGAAGTGAAATAAATCTTGTCAGCTCTATTACATGTTTTGTGTTGTCATGTTGTCATCGTCGTTTAATAGTTGGTACCAATGAAGTGATGTAGCATAGATGTAGAAGTTCAGTCAGAAAATCAATTTTCTAATGTTCAATGATGTTTGAATTTTGAATTTTAAACATCAAACGCCAATTCTGTAATTATGTGATGAAAAGTTTAAGTGATTTTACTGGTTATTATTGAAATAATTACGTATTCAGATTCCTATGTACATAATTGCAAATTATTATAAATAATTTTCCCTGCATCTAGTCCTGCTATGAAACAAATGAAATATAGTTTATGTTTTGTGCTTTGGTGGTCTTTTCCAATGCTGAAAACCTGTAGTTAATCTGCTAACAAACATCAGGAAAATGAGAATAATCAGTGTTTCAAGAATACAATTATGTAATTATTTAATACATAGCAATCTGCAGTTTAAGTGACATGTTAACTAAAATGTATGCCGTCTGAATAGGTAAGTTGCATGCAAATTTATATTTTTTATCACATATGGTTTGGAACACATCGTTAACTTCATTTAGTGCGAACACACAACCTACTTCTCGCCTGTGTACCTTCTAGTCTAGAATGCCACGAGTCGAAGTGAAGCCGAATGTCCCTACTTTTCAAGTAGGTACCTAAATTCAAATTTTGATGTGTATGTAGATGTAATAATTTCAAAATTGCATCGAGAGATACTACATATATATTAGGCATTATTTGCAGTATTACTAGTTTTTCTTGCCTAAACTCCATTTTCACACTGATTTTCTTAAAACTCAAAGGTTTGTTTACATTTTATCGGCCTTCATTAAGTGTAAAATTTTCAAGCTTTCATATTTTTATATAGTGATGTAGATACATATTTGCTCAACTGTCGTTATTAATGACTTAGAAATGTTAATTTCATAATTTATTTAATGTTGCCATGAAAAAGAAATGAAAGTTTTGACTTCTAACAGGTGAAGCACACGATTTATATAAAAGATGCTCAATTTTTTCAAACTATTTAAAAAATGCTTAGACTTACCTTTGAATCTTTTTTATAGTCTTAAATGACACAAAATTGCTCTACTCTGTTTTTAATGTGATCGACACTGTATCTTTTCTAGTTTAGTTGATTCTACAATATACACCTTAAAAGTGATCACCCTGTATATAAATATTTTTTATATTAATTACAACCGTACGAGATTAAACGATTTAAAAACAACTTCAACCTGAAAAGTGAAAGGTATAATAAAATCAAATTTCATTTTTTACATGTTTATTATTCTTCAAAATCATAAAAATGACAGGAAAAAGGATCAGTATCATCTAGGTGTCCACGAATAAGCATTGGCAGGTGATTCTGTGTATTGGCAGCATCAAAGTCTCGATGAAATCATAATTGGAATTGTGTACACCTTACTTTGATAGAATAGGTCGAGGATGCGGCGTATTTTATACAGCGCGTTCGGAAAAAAAAATAAAACCTCCATCACAAAAAATACCTTTCCGCGAAATGCAAAATAAAAACAGGATATCACAGCTCCTGGATAAATTAATAAAGTACCGTGTATATTTGACAATAACAGACAATAGTCCTATCCTACGTCGCGTAATATGTACAATAAAATTTTCATAAATTTAACAATTTACGGCAGAGAAGCAAATTTAAAACCTAAACTGACTAAGATGGGGGGATCTTAAGACGTTTGCGCGACGCTGAATTTCGGCAGGCTTAAACCGAACTTAGTTTCGATTCCTGAGAAAATGGGAATAGACACCGAGTAGCCCCCTATGTGGTCCGGGTTCTGCGGCCTCTTTCCGTCCCCTATCGTCGCCACCTTTAACTCCGAACCTGAAGGACGACTGGAAACAAAGGCGTAATCAATTCTCACATAAAAGTATCGGCGGTAATTTACTTTATTAAATCGTATACTTACGTTCCTCCAAAGTCGATGTACAAATATCTTTGTAACAGTTCGTAAGTCACCAGGGTCACACCAAACTGTGGTGAGGACCTGAACACACGAGCTGAAAAAAAAATGATTAAAAGCTTAAAATTAATTACTTATTTTACTTTTTTTAATATTAAATTTATTAAGTGTTTGCAAATATTAAAGAGAGAAAAAATATGATAAAATAAAATTATAAGAGAACAAAATATTTTAAAAAAAAGTCAAAATACAATTTAATGTTGCTGATTATCAAAAGTAGAGTGCAACACAAAAAATCTAAGGAATGAATAAATTGTAGTTAGGGACGCGTATGTTCCACTCAGCCACTTCAGCAGCAAATTAATCCAAAGTAAATAAAATAGCAACGAAATTAAACCATGAACAGTTTAAATTTAAGCAGAATACCGCCCTGCTCGAAATGCTTACGAAACTTAAAAAATTATTACCAAACGTTTAAACCGTGCATATTCTAAACATCCCACTCACCTATCGCTCCTTTCCAAAAGGCTCGGAAGCCCTCCTCCGCATAGATTTTCCTCGTGGCGTCCAAAACACCGCTGTACGTCGTCTGACCTGCCCTCGCCACCACCTGCAACCTGGTCTTGATGACATCGGCAGGGGTCACGAGGGACGCAGCGGGGATACCCGCGATCGCACCAGCGACCAAAAGGGTGATGGGGCTGTTGTAGCCGTTCTCGTCCGCAAATTTAGCCTTGGTGTGGGCATAAGCGGGGAAGTAGATAGCACTGAACGGTACGTCTCGGAGTAAGCAGGCTTTGGCGCCCTTGTATAGTCCAAACAAACCTAGTTCTTTTACGACCGTCCAGGCTCGGACTTTCGCCCCGCCAGCTATTTCGCCTGCCACTTGTAGGCGGATTTTCACTATCTCCAAGGGGTTGGTGAAGACGACTTGCGATCCGCCGGCCTAAAATCACATGAATCGTAAAAAAAGGTTGTTAAACATACAGTGTGTCCCAATTTAATGATGTACAAGGCCTTAGCATAAATAAACGTAAACATTTTTAAATACCACAGGAAGAACTAACAATGACAAATTTCTTAAATGAGTCAAAATATCATGAAGTGATCTTTATCAATTGATTGTTTAAAAAATGGAACACACAACATCGTAACTACTTTACACTACAAAAAAACCTTCCAAACGTGTCGAAACTGGCCCCACCTGTGCAGATATAAATCGGGACATCATGCAAACGAAATTTATTTTACTTACACACGCACCAGCAAGAATTTCACCGTACAGTGGAATATTTCCCTTTTTATCCATCAATTTGTCCCTTACTAGATCATTTACCTGAAATAAACGAATTTAAGGTCCCTTTCGACATTCGTTGATCTTATCTGACCACTTACCGTAAGTTTGATGGCTTTCTCGGGGGCCACGCCCATCAACTGGGGCAACAGACCTCGGTAAAGTCCCAAAACGCCCTCGTGCCTAATGACTTTCTTGAAGCAATCGAAACTATTCCTGTACATCAGTTCACCAATGAACGAGCCTGTTCTCTGATTTTGCATGCGGGTCTTTACTAAATCTATCGGGTAAACTGCCGTCGCTCCCACAGCTAAAAAAAAGATTGTTTTGATATTTAACGCCGAATATTATTGACCATATTAAAAGCCGTGTAGAGAAAAAGGATCAAATAAAGTATCCTAGCACTTGCAAGGGCAATTCTGATTGATGCACTATATTTTATATATAACGGCGATAAATCGTTTGGCTTTTCTCAACTTGACCTTGAAACGACCTTGAGACGACCTTCAAATAACCTGATCAGACAAACTGACATCAGATTCGAACTCAGCGATTCCAAAATCCTGTAAAACAGGTGGTTGGACTTGATTGCTCGGCTTTTTCTAAATTTGACCTTGCAATGACCTTGAAACAACCTTAAACTGGCCTGATACAGACAAACTAACCTCCGATTCGGACTCAGCGACCCAATAAACCTAATTTGCGAGATTCTTTGATTTAATGTACTTTTTCTCAGTCTGACCTCTAATTGACCTTTGATCCTGACTAGGGAGGAGGAGGAAGGTCCCGTTTGGGGTAGAGTCGATTGTTATTGGATATAAATAATAAAAAAATTTTCTTTTTTTGACCAAAAATGATGGGGCCTAATTGACTTTCCTCCTTTGCTTATTAGAACGAGAAATGTACAATTATAGGAAAATATCTTGGTGGTATTTTGATCTGGAATATCAAGGAACCAATATGCTGGTGAACTTGGAATTAACCTTGACTTTGTTTCAAGGTCAAACCAAGATCAACTTGAAAATATTAAATGAAACAATTTATTTTTATGCCAGCAATTGATAGAGCATCAAATTTTGATCTTATAACTTAAGGTCATCAAATCCAAGGTCACCAGTATATCGGTTTCTCTTAAAATACTACAACTTTTATCATTTGAAACTTTTTCTTGTATTTTTTTTTGTTAGGAAATAAAATATGTGACCTCTAAAGAACACAAAATAACAAAATCATCGTCACACACGGATTAATTTGAAGTCAAGAAAGATATTTCCAATAGGGAATATAAATATTTTGATGTTTTCCATTTCAACAGTACCAAAAATTTGTAATAAAATTAATATGTTTGAGCTACTCTATCAGATTTTTAACATCATGCTAAAATTCATTACCGATCGCCTTAATTTTTGACATACACAATAGAAATGAAAATTTTAATGATCAATATTTAAAACGGTGACATATAAAATTGCCCCTTCAAGCAGTCGTGATATAATTTAAAACACCCCGCATTTAGCAGCCATAATTTTGTGGTTCTAGCTTATTTCTCACTTCTAAATGCTGCTAATGGAAATTAAAGGGCATTGTCAAAATATAGAACAAAAAAAATAGAAGTGATATTGGTTAGTACTTATTTAGTACTTACCATACCCCAATATTTGTAATATTAAACCTAAAAATGTTAATGCAATGTTAATAATGAAAGGACTGGCATGGAGTAGAATGACAAACAGTGTATAAATGTCAATTTTTTTCTAATTTATTGGAATAAATTTCTGTCAAGTTTCGATTTTCACTTATGAAAAAATATGAAAAAAATATATACATGAACAAATAATAATAGTACCAAAAAATAATTATAAAAAAATTAAAAAACTAAAAACTATCCATGCCACACCCTAAGTTTATTAGTATAACAAAATGATTAGATGTCACGTGAATAAAATGATAAAAAGTATTACTTACCACCAGCTATAGAACCCAAGGCGAAACGATATGTACTTTCTAAAATTTGTATGAAAACACCTCTGTCTTCTGGGCTCTAAAATATTGGCACAAAAATTAATACTTAACTTTCATACACTTAACACAATTTTTAAAAAACGGTATCCAAACTAATATTTTGAGGAAATTAAACATACAGGGTGTTTTTTGGCATATAGGCCATTGACGAAATGAGTAAAATAAATCAAAATACTTAAAAAAAATTATATATTTGAAAACTATAACTTCCTCAAATTCAAAACTGTTATGATCCTTTTAGGTGCCGATTTTTTACAAAAACTATTAACAACTTTTTTATTTACCTAATTTATTAGTTAGACCAAGTGTAATTTTTCTTCTTTTTTTTTAAAGTTAGTCGTTCAATACAAAGCAAACATTGTCTGTGCAAAATTGGCCTTTCTTTCCAACATTTACAATGAATAAAAAATTAAATGAAATAATTCACGAATTAAAATATACCTACTAATAATTATAGCAAATTTGTATTTTCTTTTGAAAAATGAAAACCCAAGTGATTTCCCCAGCAAAGTCGTGAACAATTTTTTTTTAAACAATAAAAACTGCAAAAGAATGAAATTTTTTTGTTTTTTTATAATATCTTGAAAAATAATGATGGAATCGTCCTACTTTTGTAAAGTATAAAAAAACCTATAAAATCGTTTTTTGTGCGACCCGATCGGCTCATTTTTTACAGAGAAAATCCGGAAAAACCTCTAAAATAGACCTTTTTTCAAAAATTCATAACTTCGTCAAATTTGAAGTTGGAAAAACAATCTTACTGAAAATGACAGATAATAATATGTAGTCGTTAATCGTACTCAAGATGATTTCTGTCCGATACACAGTTTTTGCACAGTTGCGTTATAAACAAATTAGGGTCTTTTTGTGCACAGCGTGGCGATTTATCAAAAATGGTCCGATTTAAATTCTGAAAACGGCATCTGAAAGTAAACAACAAACTCTCCAATTTGTATATCTCGGATTTTCGTCTGGGTGATGGAAAATATGCTAAAAATGCCCTTGAATGTCGCCCGAAAGTACACTCGAGCCAGAGTCCTTCGCTCGCTGCCTGACTCTGGCTCGAGCGTACATTCGATTGTTTCGTTCGACTTTTAAGGGCATTTTTAACATATTTCCCACCACCCAAGCGAAAATCCGAGATATACAAATTGGAGATTTTGTCATCCACTTTCAGATGCCGTTTTCAGAATTTAAATCGGACAATTTTTGATAAATCGTCACGCTGTGCAAAAAGAGATTTATTTATAATCTTGCACACGATTAAACTACATATTATTATCTGTCATTTTCAGCAAGATTGTTTTTCCAGCTTCAAATCTGATGGAATTATGAATTTTTGAAAAAAGGTTTTTCCAGACTTTCTCTGTAAAAAATGAACCAATCAGGTTGCACAAAAAACCATTTTATAGGTTTTTTTATTTTCTATCAAAGTCCTATTGAGAATAAGATGATTCCATCATTATTTTTCGAGATATTATAAAAAAAAACAAAAATATGTCATTTTCTTGCCGTTTTTATTGTTTAAAAAAAAATTGTTCACGAGTTTGCTGGGGAAATCACTGGGTTTTCATTTACTAAATATTATTCAAAAGGAAATATAAATTTGCTGTAATATTTAAGTGTAAAAACACTCTTTTTTCGCTCTATTGGTTGGCTTAATTTTAAAATGAATAGATGTTTGCAAAATTTTATTTTGAGAAGTATGGGATAAAAAAAAATGAAATTGTAGGATCAAAAGAGATTTGCAATTTTGAGTGTTTCGAGATATGCACATTTATAAAAAATATTTGCCACATTTTCTAATTTACTGTGTTAATGACCTGTATATTAAAAACTTACAACACCAACATATACAGAATGTAACTTTAAGTGAGGGTTAAGTTTTTTAAAGATTTTTAGGCTGAAATTATTTATTTCTTTAACCAAATAAACATCTGATTATAGTTTGTTTTTCAAACTACACTTGAACTCTTGTCTACACCGTCACCTGGCAGCTCCCGAATTCGAGATGCTCGTATTCGAATGTGCATGGTTATTATTTATGAAACTAACGAAGTAGCAGAAAGCAGAATTGCAATAAAAAATAATTTTGTAAAAACAGATTGCTTTTATGTGACTTTGAAACTTCATATATTTTTTTTAATATGAATTTGGACAAAGCGCCAAACATTAAAAAATTTTCAAGTTTTTTAAAAAAATTAATTTTTTCGTGATTTATTAAGTAATAACTAATGTTGTAAGTAAAACTAATTCATGTTTGAAAATAATTATCTTTGTTACTATATAAAATGTACATAATAAAAAAACTTTCGGTTAGATCCTTTAGAATCATTTCAAGTACTATATTTTTTAAAGCACTGTGTTTAGTTCAACAATCTCAATGTCAACGATTTCTGATACTAACCCAGTTTAAGTGGACTACACAATATCGATTCACCTGATGAGATATGACAACAGGGCATTAGGCAGGCGTAAAAACAAATGGCCAATGTTAATATGGCGAAATAAGAAAGGCCAAATATGTCACCACCTCACATAATTATATTTATTTTAACTTTCAGTTTATCGGTTTAGGAGAAGGCGAGTAGGTAATATTGCGATATAATTTTTACTAGAATCAAAATAGAATTTGTGTAGTGCAGTGTTGGTTTAATTTTTACAGTAAAATTTAAAGTATAATGAATTGTCTTGCGCAGCATAAGAGAATAATCTTTTACAAAACAATTAACTTGTCTGTCTTCATTGTCAAATTTGTGATATTATGAAAAAAACATTAATACAAATCAAAAAAGATTACATTTGATAATAATGGAAGTCATAGCTCCCAACTGGTATGTGCTCGAAACTAGTGTGAGAGGCTATTTGAGATTATACTATCCTGTTCAGTATTGGGACATGAAAATTACGAAAAGAAAACGGTTAAAAAAAATTTCAATTTACACAATTAAATTTGGGAAAACAAACTTATCAAAAGTAATCTCTTTATAAAGTTGCTCCCTGTATAATTGTTAATTTTAAAATTACATGACTAAGTTTTGGATTCTGTTTTGAAAATGTTCTTTGTGAAAAAAATATCATCCTCACCGAAACAGCGTGAATTTCAGCCAAGCGATTGGTGATCTGCTTAAAGTACTGCTCCGGGGCTATGGCGTACAGATCGTTGTACACGATCCTCCTAAAACGAAACATCCATCAGAAATCAAAGCGAAAACCACACTACGTCAAACAAATAGACACGAACCCATCCCAACTGCCGTTATCCTCTTTGTACAAATATCTACTTCCCGTGAGCAGCAGAATTAAAGAAAAACATTCAAAATGAATTGTCCGCCACACTCAATACATAGACGACACAATTACTTACAATTTGTGTTAAACGCCAATTTATCTCTATGCATTTAAAGTCTTAAGAATGGGGGGTTACTAACGTAACGGTCGTGATATTTACCCTGTCTGGTGCAGGACGTCACACAAGTTGAAGAGAATGTCCACTTCCAGGGGGGTCATTTGGGACATCGCCTGCGCCGAGTGCATGAACTCTTCCTTGCTAACCTCCTGGGTCCTATGGCCGTTGGTCACGTTTAGGTAGATCCTCTTCACCAGCTCCATGTTGTTCAGCAAGGCGTTGAACGCGATGAAGTAAGGGAAACTGACGCGGCTCCCGCCCTGCGATTCTCTCGCCGCCTGCATTGCTCACGTTTACAAAAACTCGGCAACAAATTAAAACGTTCCTTACCTCGATGAGATGCGTCTGGACCTGCTTGGTGAGCAAGTGACTCTTGATGCTGATCATGATTTCCTGAAAATCCAAAATAGAAATAAAACCTGTGCCCTCTTTATCTGCTCTCCTAAAACCTTCAATTGCATACTCTTCATGGAAATCGTGCAGGAACTGGCTGAACTCGTTGTACGAAACTAGACGTTTCTTGTCTTTCCCGAAATACAACTGGATGAAGGGGGAGTCCATGTTGAAGGGGATCTTCCTTTGCAGGTCGGTTTTCTTCATCACCTCAACGAATTCCTCTGTAGTTAAACATTGTTGTTAGTTTTCTTGAAATATACAGGGTGTACTACTTAAATTTCACATCGGCGTTTCCTTAGAAACTGAGATATGTTTTAAATCCTAATTAGCCCTAGACGAATGACAGTGAATGGTTCAATTTGACATTAAAATATTTTTTATACTTTGTTCTTGCAGACGAAGTGCAAAAAAATGTTCTAGAAACAAAAAATTTGGACGCATCATATACAGGAAAATTTAATTGATATTTTATTTATTTTCATATAATCATTATTTATTAGTTATAATGTAGAAAACTAACAAAGTCCTTAGATTGGTAAAATGCCGCATTCACCTGTCATTTTAGGGCAATTCTTTGTTGCCAACCTTGAATACCAGATTGAACCTTCAATATACAGGTGTCCCATGGTGACGATACATTAGACATATTTCAGAAACTACTTGATTTGTTATTTATGAAAAAAAAAACAGCATAAACAACAAACAAATTAAAATAATCCTCATTAGTATAATTTAAACGATCCCCAGCCATTTTTATTAAATTTTCGGCAAAAACTATTCAAACACATCAATAATTTGACAACTAACTTGACAAATGTCATGTTATTTCAATTGTTTTGGAGTGTTTCTGGTCATGGCCAATTTGACAATGTGTCACTATGTGTCTAATGTCTCGTCACCATGGGATACCCTGTATTTTTATAGGATGTAAAATATAAAATTTAATACATAGAGAATGTCTTATTTATTTCGTAAAATCAACCATTTCTCAGATACTTACAATTATGTTCATTGTTTCTTAGCAAAACTAATTCTAATTTTTTTTAATACAATTTTTAGATATTTTTTTTATATTCTACATTGTTAGGTAAGCACTAGCAAACAACTTGGTCAAAAATATTCCAAAATGTAATTTTATAAACAAAGCATTCAATTTTTTTATTATTTTATACAGCAACACTACCTACAAGTATAAATTAAAAAAATATTATTACACCCAGTTGAACCCTTAATTTTTATCGACCTATGGCTAGCCCCAATTTCATATGACTCAATTACTAACAAAACACTAACAGAAATGGCACACGGTGATTAAAATTACTTGATCATGTATGAAGCTCTAAGTAAAGAAAGAAATTAAAAATATTAAAAAATTGGGAAAATCATGATTTTCAATCATTTCTGTAACTCAATTTTTCAGACCACTTAATTTTTTTTAATTACTAGCATAATGAGTAAAATATTTGACCTTGTATGAATCTTAAAATAAAGAAAGAAAGAATAAGCTCAAAGCAAAAGTGTGTTATGATTTTCAATAATATATTTTAACAATTGTAGGTATTTTAACTATTTATTTTGCTTATTTATTTTGTGATATTATTGTAGGTCACACATATCAAATGCCAAAATAAACATTATGTTTATTCATTGAAATATTTTTTTTATCTTCATACAGATGCAACTGATTTCAGATTTTATCAAAAAATTAAACAATATGGAAGAAATTTTAATCTCATTTTTTTTTGTACAAAATTATTATTAATTGGCAATTGAAATATAAAGTCCTTAGATTGACCATGACCACATCCGTGTTGCCCTAAAATGGCAGTTCGAGATAAGCCAGTATCAACTATTACCTACTGTTTTTTTATATTAAAATTGCTATTTATATTAAAAGACTCAAAAGTTAATCGTTCATACTATTAGGTTCAAATTTGGGTTTATCCTCAAATAAATTAAACTAAAATCTTACATTTCAAGATTGGTAATAGGCTATTGATTATAGGACTTTTTAAAAGGAACTATGACTTTCAAGATATTTTATTACATGAATCGTTCAAATGATCATTTTAGATGAAAAAACCCCGGAGTGCTATTAAATTAGAGGGTGGAAATTTGAGATAGGGGTGAAAATGCACCCCTTTCAGTTGTAGCTCGAAAACGAAGCAAAATTTTGCTATAGTTCATAGGAAAAATAATTTAGAGAATTGAATTTCCCATCAAAAAGGAAAATTTTATGCAAAAAATCGTTAATAAACAATTTGAAAAAAAGCAAAAAATTCGATTTTTTAATTTTTTTTTACTTTTTTGCCTCTAGTTTTTTTTTTGAGTAAAGATAGGTATACATACGCATTGCTTCATAAAAAAAGTGGATAAAATTTCATTCAAAAAAAAAAAAAAGTTGTATAATATTTTTGGATGAGAATTGAGAATTGACTGATATATGGCCACTCAAACTTAGCCAATTTTTCGTTTTTCGTCGCGTTTACTCTTATACGTTTTTCTCATTTTTTGCAAAAAGGGAAGGATTCGTTCAAGGATTTTCATCACATTAAAAATGAAAAAAAAAATAAATTTGATTTTTTTTACTTTTTTGACTAATTTATATTAAAAACGACGAAAATCTAAAAAATATTTAAGTTTGACCAGTTACAACTCAGTCAATAATATTAGTCCAAAAATATTTAAAAACACATCATTTTGAAGGGAATCTAGAAAAATAGAGTCAAAAAAGTAAAAAAATCTTATTTTTTACTTTTTTAAAATTGTTTATTAACGATTTTTTGCATAAAATTTTTCTTTTAAATTTTTCAAATAAGCAATTTCGATGGGAAATTCAATTCTCTACAAAATTTTTCCTATAAACCATACCGAAATTTTGCTTCGTTTTCGAGCTACAATTAAAAAACTGAAAGGGGTGCATTTTCACCCCTATCTCCAATTTCCACCCTATAATTTAATAGCACTCCGCGGTTTTTTCATCTAAAATGACCCTTTGAACGATTCATGCAATAAAATTGCTTGAAGGTCATAGTTCCTTTTAACCCTGTTTTTTTTTTAGATATAATCAATAGCCTAAACCAGGAATCTGCCCCAAAATGGTGCGTGATTGCAGTACTTTGTCAATCTACGGACTGATTTTTTAAAAGGAAGTCCTACAAAAAATGTGTTTGTGCCAAATTCAACAATTAACTGCCCTCCGCTTATGGCTACATGATTCAAAAAAGCATTTTTTAATTGCTTTTTAAAATACGAATGAATTATTTCTGTATGAAGCATAATGTAAGTAAAAAATGTGAATTTCACAATTTTCTATATTTTTAAGTATTAAATACGATTTTTAAATTTTTAAAAATTATATGGACTTTAAGGCAAACAAACAAAAAAATCAGTGCAAAACAACAGTTCGTGATGATTTTCAATATCGTATTTTAGCAATTCTAGGTATTAATAATAATTATTTGTTTTGCATATATCTTTCCAGGCATCATTACTGCATGCTGCGCGTATCAAAATTCAAAATAGTCATTAGTTCAGTCATTAACTATTTCACCATCAGGAAAAAGCGAAACGACCTTGGCCAAGGTGAACAGCATATTTGCAAAATATTTGCCATTATGTAACTATTTCAAGCCAGCGCGATACTTACGAAAACTAACCATTCCATTTCCGTTAGTATCAAACAACTGGAAAGCCGTCTTATACAAGGCGTCCGGAAAACACAGCAGCCCTTCAAAAGCCTGGAACTCCGGGTAAGAGATGAGCCCATCCTTGCTGGTGTCGACGATGGCAGCTAGCAACCTCAGGGTGTCAGGATGGTACTTCTTCTCGTCCAACAAGTTCAAGTATTTGATGACGAAATCCTCGGGCGTCATGTAACGTTCCCCATTTTTCTCGAAGGAGGCGTACTTGTTGAAGACGTCTTGCAGGTGTGCTGGGTTGGCCCTCCTCAAGAACCCGCCGCCCTAGAACAGAACAATCCTTCAGTAAAACAGGCTCCGACCTTGGCAGATCGCTGTACCGGAGGTCGAATTAAACAACAAGTCCAAATATACCTTTGTCACTGACCTCTACTGAATAAATAATAGATCTGTGCCCCGCTGCCATGTCGTTTTTCGGGGAAAACGGGCAAACTGCGGGTCCGCTTGCGAAATCGAAATTGTCTCGCCTTGAGGTAGAGCCATTCGCGACGTCACAACATGTGTAAAAATAGTACGAAAACAAAACTAGATCATAGATTTCAGCATGTACAGGAACACGTCGCACAATGCGTCGGCAGTGCTCTTCTTCAACTTGAGCGAAAATACGGTGAATATATAAGTGAGTAAAATGAAGTTGTAAAAGGCCATAGTAAAAAATATGTAAAACTAAAAAGTGTGTGTCACAATTGACAGTTTTTATTCAAAATAATTGCGAGTTTTTGCTGCGCCAGCCCACCATAGATTATAGACGTTTTAAACTTGACCTAAATCTTGAATGAAGCAGGTATAAGTGCCGCTGGTAGAAATAATATATTGCTCTTATAATTCATTCTTGTACAGTAAGTACTACTATAAATATCGAAATGTGATGTAAGATGTAAGTACACAGTATCTTTTTTGTATCCTGCGAAAAATTTTAAAAAAATTAATGCTTTGCGTCGATGAAAGAATTAATCAAAGGTTATTTTTATGAAAATACATAGATTTGTTTAACCAAAAAAAGCAAACAAAGTAGAACAAATTCTGCCTGACCACAAAGAAAAATTACATCCACAATAATCCATATGTTCTTGTATTAACGGGAAAATTAAGAAGAATCGGTAACAAACAGAACAATTTTTCAAACAGCTAATACTTTACGGACTTTTTTTTTATCAAAGACGAACCCGAATAATGATTTACAAAATTAAAAATAATTGTGTTTATAGCATACTTTGTGAATGCAATAAACATTATGCTGTACACCAGGAAAATTAGCGAAAATAAAAGAGAAACTCGAAAAAAGTCCTATCCGCGAGATTATTGTAAAATTGTCTAAAGGAACATAATACAAGACATCTTTCATCTCGTGAGTCAAAAACTTTTATTAGCTAACTTTTCTATTTAAGCAAATAAGTGAGGAAAACAGTTTTTTCACTTTGCAGGGAAAACCATCAATTTTAGCGAAAAGTGACTCCCAGACAGCTTGTAGGAAGTAAAATTATCTACAAAATGAGACTTGTTAAATTAAAATCGGTTAATAAACAAAAAAGTTATTGCAAAAAAACA